TTTTAGGGCCAGGTATGGTGGCTGGTGCATGACTTTAATCACAGCACTTGGGAGACAGAGGCAGTCACATCTATCTCTATGAAATTCAGGCCAGCCCGGTCTACATAGGGAGTACCAGGACAGCTGGGGCTGCAGGGAGCCTGTTTTAAACAACAACCAAAACAAAAACACTTTAAAAAGTTCTTCAGGAATACAAAGTAGAAAATGACTTTTACTACACATTTTATATCTTCCAACTGCTCACATCTCCAAGAACTAATTATTTGTACAAATATTGATTTGTACCAATTACTGGCTATACTGGTAAACAGAGGAAATAAAAATAAGGCAGTTTATATACCCCCAAATAGGCTTCCAGTGTAATATAGGGGAAGAAAAAAGTAAACATACAATTAAAATAAATAAAAGAAGTGCTTTGGATAATCCTATATACAAAGCTAATGGAGAGAGACAAAGAGGGAGAACTTTAACAGCAGTTGAGGCTATGTGCCAGGTAAAGTACTAAGCACTGTCACCTGTTAAAACCTCATCATGATAAAGCTCATTTTCCCCCAGCAAGCTGAGGAATCTACAGTTCAAACTTGCCAGAGGTCATCATGGTAAGGATGGAATGAAAGTTGTACTTGCAAAGATCTTCCAAGGTCATAAAAGGCCCCTTGAATGAGTTTAGCCCTTTAACAAAGAATTTTAAGGGAGAAGGAGGGAGGCAATGGTACTTTGTTCTAATTTTCTTTTAGCTTCTTCTGAGAAGCTTATGATCTGGGTGAGCTCAAGATAAGTGAGACTGCCATTATAATCCAAATAAATGTTTAAGACAAGAGTGATACAAATAGGGACTCAAAGAAATTGTTGTTTTTAAACCTTAACCATTTGGGGGCAACTGGTAGAGCTATTACTGGAGAGTAGGAGAGGATTTCAAACAACTGCATGCATTTCTCCAAACAAGGGGAAAAGAAATCAAGCCCAGAAAAATAATGAGTTCAGGTTTGACCAGGCTGAATTAGAAACAAAGGCCAATCAATCATAGTATCTTAAGAACATACACTGAGGTCTCCAACTAAGATAGTTTTTAATTTCACAGGCAAAGTACAATGTGCATTTAAGGCTGCTTCCAGTTCTGCAATTACTTAGGACACTTTCACAGCAAGATACTTGGCTACATTTTTTAAATTGTATCTTTTAAAACTTGAAACTCTTTGCACTCATGAACTCAAGCCCCTAGAGTCATATGTATTTGCTACTGAAATAATTTTCCCTATGTAGCAGTAACAGGGACTCAGATAAAATCTGTCCAAATAGTCTAGTTGACCAGAGTAATTCCCAGCTTCACAAACATGCTTCATATTAACCCAGGCCCACGAAAAGGTAAATCTTCCATTTTATTGCCATAGGAAATTTTCTTTTTAAAACCAAATCTCTATTATTCAGGTATTGGATAAACACATTTCCAAAACATGCCTTGGTATTTCTAAGTCCAAACTCCCTATACAGCTGAGTAAATAGGTGCCAAAAACATTTCTGATCTGGACAGATTTTACACAGCTGGTTAATGCCACAGGCAGAATAGAGGGGTCTAAGCATGATCTGTAGCACAGTAGTCAACGCAAATTTCCCTTTCTCTGCCTCTGAATATTCATCTTCTGTCTCTGATTTCTGAAAAGGTGTATGAGAAAGCAAGGTATAGAGAGAAGTTTTGCAAGTACAAATTTGGCAACCTAGTGTCTCAAACACCAAATATTGAAGCTAAAGAAAGAAAGTAGACTACTTCCTATAATAAGAACTTTTATTGCATTTCAAATGTCCAAATTAACCCTTTAATTTTCTACAGGAAAGACTGGCTTCTATCTCAGTGTTCTGAGATTACAATCAATGTTTGGTCCTCTTTATTTCATTTCACAGGATGAGCAAATTATACACTTCACTAACCACTAGGAGTATTTTTTTGTAATTAATATATTATCCTATAGTGATAAAATATCATAAAACTAACTCTAAGTATTTTTCATAATTATTAAACTCTTCTTTGAATTTTTTAAAGTCTTCTTGAGACAGTGTCTCCCTGTAGCCCCAGATGGCCTGGAATTTGCTATGTAGACAAGGCTGACCTCAAACTCATGGCGATCTGCCTGCTTCTGCCTCCCGAGTGCTGGGATTAAAGGCGTGCTCCACCAATGCCCAGTTTCTTTGAAATATTTTTAAATATTATTTTGCTGAAGCCAATGTTGTAACACAAAACGTGAAAAGAAAAAAAAATCCTATTCTTTCCTATCCCACATATCACAATTTTGAGTTTCTTTAGGCTCAAGTACAAACAAGTCGTACAGAAATATTATCTTTTCAGTCATTTATAACATGATTCCTCATTTCTCAAACTACCATAAACATTCCTTAATGTCAACAGATAAAGAGAGAAAAATCCACTTTTTAAGATTCTTAGTACATTCCACTGTAACTATTCATTCTCTTGATATACACTAAGGTTATTCCTAGCTTTCTGCCTCTATAGGCAGTGTGTTAATAAGCATGTTTCCACAATTCACTATGTCAGACTGAAGCAAAGTCACACTGTTACAGAGGCACACATTCACTCTTGCTCTGCATTAATAAGGAGCACCAAGAAGAGACATCAGCACAGGAAACAGACTCTCCATTTAAGAAAATCTCGTTAAAGAAAGAACACATTTTGGGGGCTGGTACATGGCTCAGTGGTTAAGAGCACTAGCTGCTCTTGCAGAGGATCCAGGTTCAAATTCCAGAACCAACATGGCAGTTAACAACAGTCCATAACTCCAGATCTAGGGGAATCCAATGCCCTCTTCTGACTCCCACAGGCATTGCACAACATGGGTGTACTTACATATATGCAGACAATACACTCACACACACAAAAAGTAATAAAGAACACATTTTTGATTATACAGATATTGTTATGGTTTGAATGCCCAATGTCCCCCACAGCTTCATGTGTTCCTAATCCTCAGCTGGTGACACTGTTTTGGGAGGCTGTGGAACCTCTTGGACTTAGAGCCTGGCTGACAGAACCAGAGTCACAGAGGCAGGCATGAGAGTTTTAGGTGGGCTCCAGCAACTGGCTCCTACTCCCACCACCATAGACTGAGTCCTTCCCCATGCCTCCCTGCCACAATGGACTGTACTCTCTGGTTCCTCTCTTAAGTTGCTGCTGTCAAGTATTTGGTCACCGTGACCAAAATACAGATGTGTTCAAAATGGATCAGAACTTGTTTCTAAAAGTCCTTAAAGGAAGACTGAAGAATGAGAAACAAGGTTCAGAATTCATATTATAGTACTGGATTAGAGAAGAAATAATTGTAAGTTCAAAAACATAAAATCCTCCTCTTGTCTTCTAAAGAAAAGCTGCCTGACAATATAACCACATACTAAAATTTTAATTACAATTTAAAAACTCCCACAGAAATCAATTTATAAGATGCTTTCCATATGAAACATTTATCATTATTTCCTAAAGTTGAAATAAATTTGTCAAATTTAAGGAGAAAATTAATATAAAATCATGGGGGAGGAGAAGTCTTAGGTGAGGAGATACCAGAAGACATAGGCTATGAATGGGGGTGGGGTCAGGGAAGCAGGAAGGGTAGGGGTAGGTTAACAAAAACTAAGAATGTAGTTTTTTTAATCTCATAGAAGCCCACTACTTTGTAAGTTAACAAAAATATAAATTAAAAAGAAGGAGCTTGAACATGGATAACCTACATGGGTGAACAACGGGTTAAATGAAAATGCCAGGTATAAGATACCTCCTTATAAGTTGTTGGACAGGGAAGCCCCAGAGGCCTCCAAAACAACACAGGCTATAGCCACTGCTCTTGATTGCCCATCGGAACTACATGATAAAATCCTATTGAAGACACAACCAACTTTGGTTGCATGACAGAGAAACCGAGATGTAACTGACCTGAAAACTTCCTCCCCACTGGCTTTCACAGTGCCAGAAGATGTTATGCAGGGGGGAGAAAAGCCATCAATGGTCTTACCCAGTGGTGAATCCTACATACTACAATACCTGCCTACAAGGCAAGATGTGTCCATAAATGCAATAGTACAAGGGTTATGGAGTAACTTCCCCTTTTTGATTAGATTTGAGGCCCACTCCACAGGAGGGACTTCAATGCCGGTACTGTAAAACTGGTCCAAAGGCCTTAGGTGGGAACCTATTACTGTTGTCTTGCGAAGTGAACATGCTGTCAAACTGCCTTCTAAATAATATTTATAGACATAGATTAGTGTGTTTTGTCCTCAACACTGGACAGAAAAGCTTCTCCCTGCAAAAGACAGCAGTTAATATAGAGACTGATGAATGGTCAAAATGCTAAGAATAAGTGGCCATTGAGTGTTCAGCCCTAAATGGACATCAACACAACATACACACACACACACACACACAGAATATTGTGGAAGAGGGGGTGGAAAGAACATAAGAGCTGGCAGATGGGAAGGAATACTAGAAATGCTGTTATCAAGACATGACACGGCCATTGCACCCAATCACTGCAGCCATGGGTACCTGCACAAGAGCTACACAAGACAATGCCGACAAAATCAGTCAGCATTCAAATAGGTAGCACTGATTAAGCTCAGTGGTTTACAAAAAAATACAAAAAGAAAGGACATGAAGCAGGAAAGGGGACAGGTAGGGTAGTCGTCCAGGGAGTGGGAGGAGGAGCTGGGGTGCATATCATCAAGATATGCTGCTTACATGTAAAAAACTTCCAAAAAATAAAATACTGTATTAAAAATCATTGTCTCTGATACCATGATACATTTAGTATTTAAAACTGTTATTTTAACAAACATAAAATAGTAATATAAGGTCTTTGAAAAATCTCAAAGAAAAAAAAGTAAGATCACATATCATAAACTGCATAATCATTAAGAAGAAAAAATAAAATTTCAGTTCCATCAAGCTGCCTATGGGGAACACAGTAGAGAATTGATCACAACATGACTAGGAATCATACTTCATTTTGAGAAATTAATATTTATTGACAAAAGGTCATAATTGGTGTTGAGTACTATAAAATTTTTAAATGCCAAGAGGAATACATTGCAAAGCTCTAGTAATAAACATACAGACTGTATTTCCCAGGTTTTGGCAGACACTATCATTTTCATTTGTCTTAGAAGTACTGCTGAGAAGAAAGCAAGCATGCCACCCTTCACAGAGCACAAAGAAGGCACTGATGTGCAGAGCTGATATCGACACATGGTTCTAGGTCTGACTGTCCACATTAGAAGACCAGCATTTTTCCTTCAAAACTCACAAAATGCAGTCATTCTTTAATCAGTCCCTACTCAGTTCTCAGTGTTCACTCTGGGAAGTTCTCAGTGCTCTGAGCACATGACGCATGTTTCTATCACCCTTTTGGTCTGTATGCCTTCTCTCAAATGTATTTCCTTCTCCTTCCTCAAAACAGACTCTTCTCAAAGGAGTCATCAATGGGTCTTTCTTGATTCAAAATTGACTGGAAGACAAGATCCGACAAAGGGCCTCTTTTCCATCTGCCCAAGCTAGGAGGGAAAAAAGGAGAAAATAATTCAAAATTCTCTTTTAAGAGCAACATTTCTTATTTTCATTGAAACAAAAAGGAAAAAAAGGGGGGGGAACTCTACCAGTGATTCTTCTATTTTACTAAATTTACCTTGGCCAATTTTAGGTAGACATATCTTACTGACTTCAAGTTAACTAGGTTGTTATAAGTGTGACTTCCACCTTCTCTAAGTTTTTGGTCAATTTTAGGTAGACATATCTTACTGACTTCAAGTTAACTAGGTTGTTATAACTGTGACTTTCACCTTCTCTAAGTTTTGAAAAACAACTTTCCTCTATATAACTGTATACTCTAAGAACACAGAACTTCCAATTCAGACACTAAAACGTCAAAAAAGGGAATTTCTAGAAAATCTCTAAGAAACTCTGACACACAGTTTTGCAGTATTTTTAACCTGCAATGAGACTAGTGTTACCATAAAAGCCGTTCCCTGAACTCTGGGCACGCAGATCTCTGCTATTCTAGGGAAAAATCAAGAACATAAGACTAAGGAGCCCCAGCTAGTCATATAATTAAAATGTATAGCTACGTTAAACACTGGTCATGCCTGAGAAATAAGAGTATCAACTGGTTAAACAGCCAATTAACACAACCAAAGAAGAGATAATTAAAAAGCTTATCACAAATTAAATTTTAAAGCATATATTCAATTTTTTTTTAAATCAACACAGTCCACATAGCTAAACATTTATTGGTTTTAAGGAGCTGAGACCTGTTACTATTATGCCAGCATGTTATCTACTTAAATTTTCCTGGAGAATCTTACTACCCAAAAAAGCCTGAAGTTCAAGAACTCTGACACAATTTCCTTTATTAGGAGCATGACAGAACGTCAGTGCAAAAACAGAAGAAAAAAAAAAAAGAAAGAAACAGAAAGGTGCTTTCTTTTGTGACTTTTCTACCGCTTGTGGAAAAGACTACTATGCTAACACTCATTCATCTCCCACACCTCCCCATACTACCCACTCCTTTTAAAAGACAGGACTGTTTTGTCTAGATAAAACACCACCACCAAGTGAAATACTGAGATGTGGCATACTGAGACCAAGGGTTATATCCATCTCCTCACAAAAAGGATGGAGCCTTTCAGGTGGTTCAAAAAGTACCATGTCACACCTCTATGATTACACTCCATTACTACTGTTCTGATACTGAGCAATTCCTACACCCAACCCCAAATAACCCACCAGGATGTGCCTCAGAATCTTGAGTATCTCATTTCTCTGGGATTTTTTTCTTCACCAATCTTATTTTAACATATAATGCTGACTTATTACCACAAAAGATGCTAGAGATTATACTTTATTAAAAAGCAACAGTAGTCAGATGTGGTGGCTCACACCTGTGAATCCAGCACTCAGGAGGTTGACGCAGGACTGCCCCAAGTTCAAGGCCAGCTTAGGCTAAAGTGTAAGACCCCCATCTCAAGAAAAAGAATCCTTACTTTAAGGTATCCTTTACATATATATAAAATCGCACACAAAATACATACATAGTAAAGGAATTGCTGACCATTCCTACATGACACTGTGTAAAAAAGATGCAAAGTGTGTGAAAATACTTCTGCAAGAGTCTCAAAAGGACAGTTTCCTGAATAATAACAAAAAGTGTACTTTATTAAGAAACCTAGCGGCTTGAGACTGTGAACAAACCACTGCCACCTTAATGTTGTCCTCCTCCCTTTCAGTCCAACATAACTTGTACCACTTTAACTTTTTTTAAGTTTTTTTTTAATGTTGCTGAATTATTATTATAATTTTTTTGTCTTTTTTGAGACAGGGTCTCCCTGTAGCCCCAGCTGTCCTGGAACTATGTAGACCAGGCTGGCCTTGAACTCACAGATATCCGCCTGCCTCCGCCTCCCGAGTGCTGGGATTAAAGACGTGCGCCACCACGCCCGGCTCCCACTTTAATTTTTAAGTAAAAATGTTCCTTATAGAACAGCATTATGCATCAAGAAAAAAGGAATAATATTCCTAATATTTTCCATCTTCTTCTCAAAAGGAAACTTTTATTAGCATTTTGTGTCCCCTCCTCTTTCTTGGGCATAATGAATGTGCACATAATTTCTGACCACAAACATATTATACATACTGTTCTCACAATTTGCTTCTTCATAACATATCTTGGCCAGTTCCTTCTCATATGAGTATATTATCAGTATCACTCACCAATTTTAGTATTCATGCAATATTTCTTGGTAACTAGGGATTGTGGTGTCATAGTATTTATTTTCTTTGTTGCTTCTGTCTTCTCAAAAGACTGAACCACCTGGTTTCCATGTCCCATGTCACTTTTCATTCTCTAGTATTTCTTATCACCGCTCTTTCATCTTTAGTTCTGGGATGTTTCTTCAATTTTATGTCAAAATTGTTAACTCAATTTCCATTCCTTCCTTTGAAAATTTGAAAAATAAGATTTTTAGTTTCTGAGACCTCTGCATATTCCATTCTTTCAGAAAACTCTATTTTACCTCAACTAGATCTGGGAAAACAAGAAACATTAAATTCTATTTATTTTTTGAATTGTTCCCATTTTCCAAGGGTCCATTTTTTCCCTAGTTAACATTCTATTTTGTACTGTTGGCTTTCTAGTGTCAATTTGTGACCCTAGTTAATTTTCTATTTTATATTATTGGTTTCTTGGTGGCCTGTGGTAACAAATTTTATGAACAGTGTTCTAGAACTACTGAACTGGTTTTCTCCCTGTAGATCTATGGTATTGTCATGCCCTAGAGGCTTATTGTTACAGGTTTAGGCTCCAACTCTTTCATTCAAAGAATGAGTCTCATTGTGAATGAGTGGAGCTCACGAAGAGGCACGTTTTAATTTAGAATGTATATTTACAAAGCTGTGTGGACTGGAACCTTCAAGATTTCTGTACTTTGGTGACAGAATGTTTTAACATATTATGCACATGTGGAACCTCCTTTTTCTTTTTCCTTTCCCTGTTCAAACTGCTACTCTAGTCTCAATACACATGTCAGAAACCTCCAAAATCATTGTCTGCAAAACAGAAATCACAACTCTATCCTCCAGGAAAATACTTGTTTATAA